GTGGAGAGCCAGCACTGCAGTAAGTGGCTGCCAGAACCCCCCCACCCCCCAACACACACCCCAACACACACAGTCACCCTTATCTCAGGATGGCCGTCCCGAGAGGCAGGCGAGGCAGCCACTACTGTCATGTGCATTAGACGAGGAAAGTAGGATTCCTGTGCCAGGCCACTGGGCAGTGAAGGGATGTGTGCTGGCTGGGGGAGGGAGAGGAGAAGGAGGAGAGATGGGACAGCAGCAGGAGACAGCTGAGCTCTGAGAAGTCTCCCAAGTTGGGACACGGGAGCTACTCGAGCTGAGGGGCTTGCGGCTGCATTCGGGCTGTATCAACTCTATTTTCTGTATTTCTAATGCTCTGGCGTCTGGAGCCTTGACGACGCTGGAGGGACTGCCCCTCCTAGGTAAGCTCATTCCTAGAGAGTAAAGGACTCACCCAAGAGCACAACTTTCAAATATGAACCAGCCCATCCAGAGCCCACACCCCCAGCCCCCTCCTCTATGGTGCTCTCCATTCGGGGCCACCACCCCCTGCCCTAACCACCCAGAGCAGGTCCCAGACAGCCAGGGACAGCCCCAGTGTCCCCAAGTCCCCTGAAGTTACTCAAACTGGCCAACCCAGCCTGTTTACCCTGCCTCACCTGTTCCTTCCTGAGGAAACCACAGTAAAGACTCCTGCCCACATTTCCCCATCTCCCTCTGCCCCCTGACTGACCCTGGTGCTTCCCCCTGTGGCCCTGCGTGGCATGTCCCCTCCTCTAGGTATCTGTGAGTAACAAACCATCTTGTCGATGGCAGCCATCTCCTGACCGGTTGGCCTCACCATGCCTGAATAATGATAAACCTACATTGTAACACAAGGGCTTAGGAGTGGATGCTCCAGCATATAGAAAAGGAGCATCCCTCAGGATTCTGCCAAAATGTGCCCATAAAACTCCTACCTGCACAGTGCAGGCCTGAGGTCTGTCACCATCATCCTGGCATCGTCACCGAGGTCCAGGCCCCGCCACCCTGAGGATGTGGCTCTGCCTAAATGCTGTGACCACCCACGTTCACGTTCCAACACGCCTCAGGCGCCAACACCTCTCCCTGCACCCCCCTCAAATTCCACACTGAAGGACATTTCAACCTGAATTCACATTTTTGGAGTTCATCAAGGGAAAACTCTGCAAAACAACAAAAGTAGTGATGTCTAAAGGGCAGGCAAATCTACAAAAAACATAATGCAGGCATTCACATGTAGGAAGTCAGGTGCTCTCCAGGTCCAACACACGTGTGGCTGTTCCTGACGAAGAAAAGCCTCTGTCATGCCCTGGAAGGGCTCACGCGTCATAGGGAACCTGGAACTAATGTTTCTCTTCCCTGAACACTCCTTTCCCGATGACGTGAGAGACTGCTCTCCGACATGTCACTAAATGGTGGTTTTGGACGTGTGGAACCTCAGACGTGGAGCTGACTGAGAACGAGATATGTTCGACCAACTCCTCCTTGGACAGGTGCAGGGAGGACACCCCAGTGTCCCTGTCTTGTTGGGGGCACACAGCTCAGCCTTGTACCCTGGGGCCCACAGGTGTTACATAGAGACCCCGAAAGACACGAGAAGCACATGGGCTCACGGCTCCCAGAATTCGCCCAGTGCTGCCCTCAGGTCACCATGCCTCCTCACCCCGGGTCCTCCGTCATCCTGTACTTTTACTGAAGCCGTGGGCACTGGCTCCTTCCAAGCAGGTCACCTGGGAGCTTGGAACGGCCCTGCAGCCTGGTCACACAACAGGGCTGGATTCCCCTTGGGGACCGCCAGCAGTCTGACACTCTTCCCTTGCGACACCCTCGACAGGTTTATACTATGAGGACAGGCTTGGCTTTCACAAGGTCACGACGGAGCTGACGGCCAAGAGCAGCTAAGAGGGCAGATGAGCAGAGGAACTGGGCACCGCCTGGGGTCAGGGTCACCCCTTTCCCGCCCCAGGGCACGGATGCCCACCTGGTCACTGCCTGAGCCCAGAAAGCACCCTCGCACGCAGACGAGAAACAACGCCATGCCTGTTCCATGTGCGTGGGCACATACACAGAGCTGTATGTGTGCAAGTGCGTGTGCATGTGTGCGTATATATGTGTGTGTGTGCGTCTGTAATATTTTTTTAGATTTATTTGTCTCACTTCAGGCTCCCCCACTGGACATAAGGCCCAAGGGGGGAGGGGCGCTTCTGTTCACTGCTGTGTCCTCAGTGTCCAGGACACCGGGCGCGCCTGGCAGGTCCTCGCGCACGGCAGGCGACATCTGTGGCTGAATAAGGGCCGGTGCGGGGTGGGGAGTCCTCGCCCAGATGGAATGGTGGACACTTCACACCAGGGAACTGTCAGCCACACCAGGAGGACGAGGACGAGGACGTCTCCATGTGTGGATCCAACCATCTCCAGGCTGAGTCAGGTAAGAAGACTGAGGAAGGGCAGAGGATGTGCTAAGCTACCTTGCACACGAAAATGGTGCGGGTAAATGAAAATACGTACTTAGACATGTTTGTCTTTGCTTTAGAAACCCTGCAGACAAGAACGGAGAGCTAGTAAAAATGGCTCCACAAGAGGGCTGGGCACGGGGCCGCTCAGTTTATCTTCTTTGGGTTTTGGAACCATGTAAATGCATTACTGTCTCAAAAATGTAAAGTTAAATGAAAATGTAAATCTCTGCCACCCCAGAGGACCTTAAGTTTGCATTCGCTTAGAGGTGGATGGAGTCTTAGGTGTTCTAGAATCTTCCCTGAGCTCACTCAGTCATCTGACAGAGCTCTTTGGCTCTGTCTCATTGTGATGTAGGAATTCAGAACCAAGTGACTTTGCCCCAATCCTAAAAGGCAGCCAGAGGGAAGGCGTGTGGCGCAGGAGGGTCCTCACCCAGGATGAAGAAGAGACCCGTCTCTCCCTGAGACGCTTGGTGGGAGATTTGAGCCCCTACCCCTTTGCCTCTTCCAGGCCCAGGATGCCTTCAGCCCTCAGTGTGTGAGGGCAGCTCCAGCCCGTTTGGCCAGGCCGGTGTCCAGACTGGCCATGCCTGCGGGGAGCTCCACAGCAAGACCACAGCCTCCAGCCTGACGGCCAGGTGCCAAGTGACAACCCCACTGGGGGAGGGGTGACTCCTTCCAGCATTTTCTTCACTGATGCCCTGGAGACCTGGAGCCACAGTCACTGACAAGGTCTGCGCTCGGTCCTACGACCCCTTCATTCCCTGAGCAGCTCATCCCCGGCCCGGAAGATGCTGACGATAACGACACCCATGGCCCAGCAGTCAATCCCCTCATCTTGGATGGACTTTGCAAATGCGCCAACATTACGTAGGGCTTTCAGATTGTTCAAGGCCTGCGGGAGAGCCAGGGGCCAAGGATGTGACGTCCAATTGCTTCAGCAAAGAGACCAAAGCAGGAAGGCCAGACTCATCTGGAAAACAGGAGGCCGTCCAGTTTGGCCTGGTCAACCAAGCGAGAGGCTGAGGGCCAGACTCGGGTGAGCCACGGAGGGTTCCAGAGCCAGGGAAGGACAGGACTGAAGAGACCTGTCAAGAAGTTGGTCAGATGCACTGAAGAGGTGAGGGGTGGACAGGCCAAGAGACCTCTTGAAATAAGACCTGAAGTAGCTCAGACATGCAGCCATGGGGGCCGGAATGTGCAAGGGGCAGGACTGAGGGGCACAGAAACTACAGGCTCTGAGGCTGAGCAGAGAGAAGGCTGAGCGCACGACTTACATTTGATCCTTCCTACAGCCCAAGGGCATGGGAGGCCCTGCTGACGCCCACTTCACAGATGAGCCAACTGAGACCCAGAGGGCAGTCATCACTACTCACTCCTCCCAGGGCCCCCACCAGGGAAGTAGGTGCCACGAGCAGCTTCGCAGAGCCCCCCGCTCACACCACAGGGGGGAACTGACGCTTCTCCAGGCTGTGGGGATGCTGATGATCAGAACTGACCAAGCACAAGGAAGGCCAGGTGGGGGTGGGCCTGCCTGAACCCCCACGGCCCACCTGCTGCACGTCAGCACAACGCTCGGCCCTCTGACCACGGTGGGTGGGGTGCGTGACCCCACTCAGATGGGGCAGGTGTGTCAGGTAACGGTGCTGGAGGGAAACGGACAGGTAGCCTGAGTCACTGTGACGTAAAGGCCAAGTGAGAGAACGGTCAGAGCCTCTTCCTGTCCCGGCTCTCGCCCCCTGACCTCCTGGGCCAATATCCCTGCCCCACTGTCCACCCTCCTCCACCCAGAGACCCTGACCTCAACGCCTACACCACCGGGCTCCCTGGTTGGCTGGCTCTGCCAAGGCTCAGCCAATAGGAGAGCAGGAGAAGAGAAAGGCTGGGGTATTTCTTCCCTGCATCCCTCCACGACACAGCTCCCGCTGGGCTCTCTCCTCCTTGGCCCCAGCTCTCCCTGCTTCTGGAAACACAATTTCCTCTCCTCGCCTTCAGTCCATTAAAGACGCTTCATCTGAGACATCAGGTGGATTCTGTTTCTTGCCAAGACTGCAGCTGACACACCACCAACCCCACTGTTGCCAGGTGGGATCTGGGAAACACGTCACCTGTGCATGGAAACTGAGCGTCGCACTGGGTTACCTGTGCTCAGAAATCGAGCATCACACAGGGCCACCTGTGCTCGGAAAGCACCTGGTCCCAGGCTCTATCGGGGCACCCAGAATGGTGGGCCCTGGAGAGCTCAGGGTTCCTACAAAGGGGCCGTTCACCCCACAACTCCAGTCGACTGCTGCCGTGCAGAAACGTGACAGGCTTGCTCTATCTCTCTATTTCTCCCGAGAAGTCAGAAATGTATGTTTCTAGGTAAATATCCCTGTTTTTAAATGCTGGTGACTAATTCAAATATTTCAGAACTCTGTGCAGGTCAAACGCAACACCGGCAGGCCGGATCTGCCCTGCAGGCTGCCCTGCCCTGCCCTGCCCGGGAGATAACACGACAGAGGGAGGTCCGTCCACAGGGACACGGGGGGAACGTCAGCGCACCTGGTGGATCTCGTGCCAGCCGTTCTCGTCCTTGCAGCACACGGCGGCGTGCTCGTGCAGGAGCAGCTCGCAGCAGTAGGGGTCGCCCCCCACGATCGCAGTGTGATACAGCGGCGTGAGGCCGTAACTGTCTTTATAATCCGGGGAGGCTCCGAGCTCTAAAAGGGTCTAGAAAAGAAATCAAACGCTGTAGTCATTGGTCTCACAACCCCTGTAGCAGCAAGTGAATCAATCAAGAAAGAGGCATGAGGGTCACCCTCCCCCGGCCTAGGCTGACCAAGCCCTCGGGTCACCGCGCTTTTCCTGGGCCTCCCAGAACTAAGGAGCTCCCAACTTTAGACAAGAAAGTTTCTGGCCCCGAAATAGCACATGGTGCCCAGGCAGGCAGGATGCGTTTATGCACCCCGGAGACGAGGAGGCATTCTGCAGACGTGGACGTGGGCACTCAGAGAGGCCTGTCTGTGCCCTGCTAATAGTGGAGAGCAGTAAAAAGAAGGCGATATTTGCAGAGAAGAGAAAAGGTGAACTAGTCAACCTAGAAATACAACATAAAACTAGCAGTGTGCATCCTGAAGGTGGCGAAACCAGCAAGCATCGTCACCAACACTTGATCTCCGGGGAAGCCGCCCGACATGGGGCAGCCGAGAGGAAGTCGAGAAATCCACAACTTTAGAGAGGAGCACCGTCTTGGGGATCACCCCACAGCAGTGGGTCCCCTCTCCCTCCTCGCCACGGCCCTGACAGAGCGGGTGTGGGGCACCCGCTCTCCTCTCCCGGTGCTCCGCAGACAGCGCCGGGGCAGGTAAGCCATGCGCAAGGGACGCTGTTGGGAGAAGAGGAGTGGTGAAATCCACACCCTGGCACGGGGCTTCCAAGGACCCGGGGCTGCAGCAGCGGCAGCAGGGAGGCTGGCTCGATGCCCGGGGGCTGGGTCTGCAGCCTCCTCCCAGGGAGAGGGGTGGTTTGAGCACTGGCCTTCCTGGCTGAAAATACCAGCCCTTTGACTGAAACAGAGGGGGACAGATGACTTTTTGTGAACAGTAAGTTCTAAAAGCAACAAAACCAAGGAGAGAGGGCAGGAGAGCCAGACGGCACTTCCAAGGTCCAGTCAGAACACGATTCAGGGTTGCGTTGGTGGCCGTTGTGGGATGGGGAAGGGGGACTGGGTAGACACAGGGGATCAGATGGGGAGGGTGCATCACCCATGTGAGACGGGCTCCGGAATGTACCTTCAGGGCCACTTGGTTCCTGGCTCGTGCGGCTTTGTGCAGGGCCGTCATCCCGTCTTTGGCGCGGAAGTCCAGGTGAGCCCCACCGTTCCTGAGAGCTTTGAGCACCTCTACGGGGTCGTCCAGCTGAGCGGCTAAGGTCAGGGGGGTCTCTGCAGGAGCCAAACACATGCACTTTAGAGCCAGCACCGGGGGAAAGCAGCCAAGCCACACCGCTCACTTAGCTAAGTTCACACATCTCCAGGCGAGCCTGAAGAACTGACCCGGGTACCACGGCTGCCACCACCTGTTAACCCCAGTGGTCCACATAGTCGGCGTGGCTCGGGCAACCCCCGCGACGATGGTGGTCATGCCTGGGGTCGGTGCAGATCAAAACGGGGCAGAGGCAGAGTTTCAACATGATCACTTTGTGGGCTACAAGTCTGAGAAGCCCCTGCTGGCTCCGCCCTCAGTATACGGAGTGCCATCCAGATGCTTCCCTTATGGGAGAGGCAATCACCTAGGGCAGCAAGGGGAGACTGGAAAGGTAGCTGCCTGCCTTTCTCCATTTCAATTTTGTGACGTCCATGGGCATTCCGGTGGACACCAGGAATTGGGCTGTGGGGTTGCAAATATAATTAAGACATGGAGTCCGCACCCTGTGGAGGTCTCCATGTGGGTGAGCAGAGCGGCCTGAACAGTCATCATGATGGGATGGATCAATGCAATGAAGGACCAACATACAAAGTGGGCAAAAGCTCAGGGGGGGGCACGATGAAGCCACCTCTGTGGGGACAAAGTGTCAAGAAGGGCCCCCATGTGCTGTGCAGATGACCCTGGACCAGTCTGCAGTTGGCCGTGACTGAGGATGCCAATATTTGTTAGAACACATCTTTCCTTTCACTCAATCTGTCTCGCATGCCCGCCATCGCCACTGTCGAGCCAGGCACAGTATTTTAATGTGGTTTATTTGAGAGGCTTTTACATTACAGAAAAGTGCAGGGAGTAAGACAACAACGCGCAGGTTCCCGTGACCCAGAAACACTGATGGTTAATAATGAGTCATTCCATCTTCAAGCATATTTTGAGAAAAAAAGAAGTGGGGCACCTTAGATGGGGCTGAACTTCCTTCTGACCGCCCATCTCAGTCACATCACCCTCTGTCCCAGGAAAGGCAACTTCTTCACAAACCTAGATCAACTACTTTCATCTATTTTTAATTCCCACTTTTATTTACCCATAAATGGGCTTTGTTCTGAGTGCTATTTAGATTTACCGTAGGAATTGCTTTGCCCCTTGATTTTTCGTGGTGAGACGCACAGGCTTAACCAACTCCTTATAACTAGTAGGCAGGTGTGGGCACATCCCAGCGTACGTGTGTAATACGTAGTTTATACGTTCCCTCCTGATGGAAACGCTACACCTCCCGTTTTCCCCAATTACAAACGACGCTCACGAACGCCGCTGCACACATCTCTGTTGTATACCTATGAGAGGGACCTTCTCATGCAGGGGTTTCTTTAAAAATAGGTGTTTCTTGGGACAACGACAGTGACAGTGGGGACATTTCCTGCAGAGAAAACATCAACAAAGCCAGGAAGGTGTGACGTGGTTAGGGGTGCTTGGGGATCAAGGGGGGCTTGGAACAGGGCCAGAGCTCCACGTGTGGACAGAGACGTGCAGAGAGAAGCAAATGGTTAGAAGATCCCTACCCCCCGGAGAGAGGAGGGGAGCGGTCAGGCCCTCACGGCCTCACCCCCAGCAGAGTCCCGGCCACAAGTATCCGAGGGGTCTCGGTCCCTTGAAGTGAAGGGACCGCCACAGAAGGGTGGTGAGAGGGGTGACCCACGAAGGGCGTAAGAGGACTGGGTCTCCAGGAGCCGCCAACCTCTACGCTGCAAAGTCAAGCCTCTTACAGCAACGTAAGGAAGCCGACCTCCTCGAGGTCCAGGTCAGCGCACGCTTAGGACAGGTGCGCGCCTAGGGCAAGGTCAACTGTCAAAACAGTTAAGATTTTCCTTTCTTATTTGGCTGTCCACACGTGGCCATGCAAGAGCTAGGTGGTCCAAAGGAGATTTTCTTTTTAAGTTTATACCATGCTATTTTCCCAGCGGACAATCTCGACATCATTTTATAATGAGAATACCGTCTCAGAGAGAGGTGGTGGCAAACGGTGAAACCAGAAGCAAGGCTTGGATTATGACCTCTGATCCCAAATTACAGACCCCTTCGGCAGAGGCACGCCCTGCCAGACAGAGCGGGGCACGTGAGCAATGCTGAGTAAACACGTGGTGGAGAGAGCTGGACACCCGTTAATGGCTGTGAGTCTTACATAAGAGAGGGGACCTCCAGACCTTGGACAACATCGAAGGCCATCCAATGACACATGGCAGCTTTCTCGAGGGATCCAGAAGCCCTCCTCAAACAACGCTGCAGACTTGCCACATCCAGACCTGGCCAGGACCCACCCCGGTGAGGTCAGGAGAAACCCCCCGGGTAGACCACAGGTTCAGGAAGGGGACGTTTGATGAGGCCATAGATGGGGGCTGATTGGACCATCCCAAGAGGATGCTTATCAATCAACTGAAAACCTGTCATCCTTACAGGGTCGCACTGTCTGTACAATCAGTTAACGTGTGATCACTTCTCTAACGAGCTTAGGAACTGCACAGCAACCTGGCACTACAACTCTTTGAAAATATTCCTCTGTTTTTGCAGTTTGAAGTTTCTTCAGTTTTAAAAAATATACTGGAACCTCAAGAAGTATAACCTCCAAAGTTGCCCCAGTCTCTGTCGACTTTAATGAGAGGACAAACTGCTCTAACTGCCTGAGATGACCTTGAGGACATCACACCCTCTACCCGAGAAGCCGCTCAGCAGCCTTTTGGCTCCTGGGAACGACCAGGACGTGCTCTGAAAGGCACCGACAGGGACGTTTTCAGGTGTGAGAAGTGGGAGGCACCTAGAAGCACAGCAGGAGAGCACCAGCTACAGGGCTTCCAGTCTGTGCAGATGAGGGATGAGGTACACCGGCAGATAGATAAACGGGTGGGTGAGTGGATGGATGGATGGATGGATGGGTGGATGGATAGGCGAGTGGATGGATGGATAGGCGAGTGGATGGATGGATAGGCGAGTGGATGGATGAATAGGTGAGTGGATGGATGGATAGGCGAGTGGATGGATGGATAGGTGAGTGGATGGATGGAT